ATCACCAGCCTCAGGCTGCAGAAAAATAAAAGAGTAAACAGAAGATAAGACACAAGTAAAATAATTTTGTAATTGTCAGAGTGAAAGTATAGCAGTTGGCACAAAGAAAACAGCAAAAGTGAAAGAATGTTCAAAGAAGGTTGACCATGAACATGATTGACTAACTAAATCTAGATCTAGATCTAGTTCAAAGTGTGTAGTACTAGATCTAGATCCAGGTGTAAGTTCTCATACAAAACAAAAGATACACCATGTACAATAGAATTGTAATAATTTAGTCAGTCTGAAAGTAGAGCAGTCGCACGAATAAAAGCAAGTGAAAAAACAAAGAATGTTCGCCACGGAAAAGACTAGATTAGATCTAGATTTAGTTCAAAGTGTAGTACTAGATATCTAGATCTAGAATCTAGATCTAGATCCAAGTACAAGTATAATGTTCGCAACGAAAAAACTAAAGGTATAGATCTATAAATATAACCAATGTACAATGGAATTGTAATTGTCATTCTGAAGGTAGAGCACTTGGCACAAAGTAAACAGTAGGCTTAGAATTCTAGTGAAAGAACAAAGAGCAAGAAAGTTGACCATGGAAGGCTGCTAGATTTAGGTCTTGAAAAAAATTCTAGACCCAGGTAATCTAGATATAAATAATATAATCTATGAACTATTAGAAACAGTACATTCTCAACATGAGAACTAGATCTAGACCTAGATCTAAATGAAATTCAAGTGTAGCATTTCTAGGAATAGATGAAGCATCATGCTCCATAGCGAGCTGTTAGTTGACCTCTGTGTGTGCCTATCTCCAGTCCACCTCTCCCAGCACACAACAACAAAAAACTCACTTTTCACTTACCTACTCATCAAATACAGCATCCTCCGTGTCTATAACATCAATGTCAGACTCAGCATCAAGCTCTGTGTCACTTCTTCTGTCTTCCTCCATCGTGTGGTGTTTTCAAAAAGCAGTAGATAGGTAGAGAACGTCGGTCGGAGCAGCTGATAGTCAGAGTCACGAAACAGCGAGTGTTTTGAAAGACGCGCAAACCGTTCAACCCCAGCTGTTTAGCGGTTTATTTGGACCGGAGGTATCCCATAATATCCTAGATGACATCATGACTATTTAAAGACACGGGAAGTCATTCTTTGTGGTTAGAAGTTAAATTGAATGCACGGGGGTGTGTCGTCCCGGTTTCTCCTGGGTCGGCCGTGCAGCGTGGGGTCAGATCTCGCCCGGTTTCTCCCGGGTTAAACGCGTAGCGGTTCTATTTTTAGTCCCGGTTTCTCCCGGGTTACACGCTAGAGGGTTAAAATAGTGTAAATTGCACAGCACTTGCTGTCAAGAGGGGATATGCACTCTTATGGTATTTATTTAACATCATTTACATACACAACAGGAATGGGAAAAGGACACACAACCTTACAACAAGTGAAGTCTTGCAAGATGCTGCCAAAACACTTGTGCTGAGTAAAAGAATGGAACTTTACAGCACCATGCCAATGACTACAGGGAGAAATAAATAGCTTAGTACCAAAGAGGATATATATATATAATACTAGAGCTTGCGGCAGTGACGTAACACATGTAAGACATGGGGGCCTTCCACCCTCAAAGGCATGGCTGGCGAGTCCCCACTTACATGAATAATTTCAGCCTGCACCCAGCTCCCCACAAGCTCTAGTATATAAAACACCGCCCAGACCCCATATTTCAGTGCAATTTGAAGATTTCTTCCTTAGTCAGTCGAGACGCCTCTACGTGAGTCTCGAAGAGTACTCACTTGTCTGTTGAACTGCGCATGTCTTGCCCTTGAGGTTCAGCGTCCCAGAGTGGGCACACGCAGCCCCCATTCATTTACCTGGGGGAAATCACTGCCACAAAATCTTTTACTAAATACAACCTCTTTGCTTAGTGCCCATAAACAGTTTTTCTAAATTTCCTAAATAAATGACCCACCGAGTCTAGTTTTTTATGTGTGTCCGAGCCCCCATCGGGTGGCTCTCGTCTATGTCCTTCAGGTCTGGGGTCTAGCCGTCGGGCAGCAGTTGCCCTCTCTCTGTCTTTCATGGCTATGTGAGTCCTACGAAGCTCCTCCTCCGTTTCACTGAGGGAGAAATGAAACAGAACAAATCTTGACTGTATTACAACTTTCTATATAATTTTTTCAGAACTACAGCGCTTTCAAAGTTTTCTATAAATCACACCATAGATAATTAAATTCTACTTCTATTTCTTAAAAACAGTAATATTTGATTTGGAAAGTAAATAATCAAATTGAAATGTATCACCCTAAAAATTAGGTCACCAACTGGTAACTTGACAAGAAATTACAACATAACAAGTGGATAAAAAGATAAACAAAATGTCCCAACATACCACAATATAATTATGGCATATCAAACAACAAGATAATTTTAAAGAGCATTAAGGCAAGACAGAATATGCAGCAACAATAGCTTTGGGTTTGGCCTTATCAGAAAGCATGTGCAACATGGACACTAATTTCAACTATGAAAAAAATCCTGAACTTTTTGGACCCTGTGGAAACGGGTTCATGGAACTGTAAATTTACAAATCATAAGGTCTAAAACATCTTGAATCAAGGCTAACTTTGCATCAAGTGCAATATGGAATGCACAAAGACATTGAAATATAATAAAAACTTTGCGAAAAACAGTCTGAAGCCTGGCAAAACCCGGACAATCCAGATCGCCGGTTTTATCCTTGAAATTGGTGCCTCGGCCAAGTAGTACTAACTTTGCTCCAACACACCTGTCCCTCTCCCTGACTGGTGGGCTAGGGGGGTGACGTTCGGCTGCACTGCTGGCCGAGCTGTGACTGTACCAGGTGTTCCCAGCTTGGCTCTCGGAGCCCGAGTCGTGGCTGTGCCGAGACTCCTCCGTCTCCGCGATTTGTGGGGCGTGCTGGGCCGCGTATCGCAGGGGGTAGGCAGGCATGGGCCTCATGCCTCGCCCTGCCCCACTACTGCCTGTGGTGTTGGACGAGATGGTGCCTCTGCCGCTGTCCAGAGACATCTCCGACATCTGGTGAAAGCCACCAATCACAAAACAACTCATATTTATTCTTGTGTCTACAGTTGGTTTTTTTTCTTTTTTAGGATGGGTAAGAATTGTACGGCACTTCCAACATAATTGGGTCATATAAGCGCTGAAGATTAGAACTGTTGCAAGAGAGAACATTTCAAAGAGAAGAAGGGGAGAGAAAAGGAATATAGATGTTTGTAAGGACTCAGGAGCAAACAACCCCCCCCCCCCAGAGCACCCACTAACTACCTAGCTAACGTCACGGCGGCACACTGACACAATGAGGGCCATGTACTGCGTGGGAAATGCTTTTGAGAGTAAGGTTGTTGTAGAATTCACACAAGAGCATTGATCAATGACCTGTTTGCATTACAGAAAGGAATGACAACAACAAGAAAAAGACCATAAATGAGAAACTGCTCTGAAAAAAATCATGACTAGATATAATTAACATAGACAAAAGCAGGAACAGAAGTATGATTTATGTATTTATGAGCAATCAATCAACTCCCTCAGATATACAGAGCTGAGATGGGGCTTCGCAACTTACAGTAATATCAGTAATAAATTCTCTGAGGCCTACTAACAGAAAAGGATAAAAACAAAACTAACAGGAAAGCAGTAGATGTAGCAGCGCATGCGCTCATTAGCAAGAATAAAAAAGCAAATACATATACTTATGAAAGTGACAAAATTGAGTGTGAGTGTGTATGTGTGTGAATATTGTTCGTACATGCATTTTTATGAAAAGCGCCAAGAGATATGTTCACTATAGAAATGATCTACATTATTATTATTACTCTCTGCATTGGGCCCAGCCTCAGCTTTGACTTGGTAACTTAGCAAACGAAAGAAAGAGATGGCCTGTACATACACCAGCAATCGCACACATAGCCCCCCCCCCCCACATCCATTATAACTTACAGAAGCGCAAAAGAGACAACAACAAAAATATCACCCAAGCCTTATGACTCACCTGCTGCGATACTTTTTTCGATTTGCTTGTCTTCATTATCATGAAAGGGTGGATCAGTATCTCTGGGAATCAGGACAAAAACCAAAAGGGTCATTGCTATGCTATCTAAGAAACGAGAACGTCAAAATCAAAGTTTTAAAAATATGCTCCAACATAACAATGCATTTGGAAATGACCTCAGCTACAGACTGGACTTAAAATAAAGTATTGCATTTCAGAAAACAAACACCACATTCACATAATGATCAATCATCTGTGCAATACAGTCCCCTTCCAGTAAATTTTGTCTGTGGTAATGCATGAGAGTGTGTGTGTGTGTATTTGTGCTGTTAAACAGTCTTATAATGTGCAGTTTCTGTCTTTTGATTTGTCAGTTCAGTTGAGCGATAATTCTGCATCGTACAGCACTTTGAGCCTTCTTCTAGAGAATAGGTACAATATAAATTCCCATTAATATTATTAAAACTACAACATAATGGTTAAATCTGTGCCATTCAAAGATTCAAGACTTACCTCTTAAAGGGAGACGATCCTTTGGATTCTTACGTAACAGAGCCTGTATGAGGTCTTTGGCAGCAGCACTTAAGTGGTCCGGGAGGTGATACTCTGCAAGGATCACTCTATTGAGCGTGCTCTTTACAGCGTCCGTGTCAAACGGAGGCTTGCCCACGAGGAAGGTGTACAACATACAGCCCAGTGACCACACGTCTGCCTCTAAACCATGAGCCGACCGCATGGCAATTTCCCTGTCAAAACAAGACCGGATATGTTACAAGACAAGTCATTACTGGATAGTGGAGACACAAATTTCATTATCTGGTATCATTCTTGTAAAGTTATTAAGTCCTCCCCTCCCACCCCTGCCATCTATACATCATGCATCAATACTGTTCTCTTTTTTCATAGCAAATGCTTACACTTTGACAGAGGGAAAAAAAAATATGTTGGCTATCAGGCCTTTAAAACAATATTATCTCTTGTTTTCAGAGGACAAAGGGCCATATGTGTCACGATGCGGTGGAATCAGTAGTTCGTCAATTTTTGGGTATGTGGAGTTATTGTTATCATATAAAAGCTTATTCATTTGTCTTGCTTTCAATGAAGACAATACTCATCTATCTTGAACAAAAGTCGAGATAAGTCACATGATGTCAAAACAGCACATGGCAGAGTCTTATATACCTAGCAGCTGCAAGGCTCATTTTGCTTCAAGAACTGCAACAAATATTATTTTGCATTAATATAGCAAACTGCAAATTTAATTTCAAAGAACGAAATGCTTACGGTGAGATGTAATTTGGAGTTCCACACATAGTAAAATGCTTTTCATCTGGTCCTTGTAACTGGGTAGCCAAGCCAAAGTCAGCAATTTTCTGTAAAAGTACAAAACCATGAGACTTCCATCAACTCTAATTTCTTGGCCAGAGAAAATCGATCTGTCAAGAAAAGCAGCACAGCCGAACTTTACAAACTAATTTTGCAGTAATTGAAAAGCATCTACACAACAATCTGCAAAAGTATATAATGAACTTCTATTATATTATTTTTATCTAATCATCCAATGCACTTCAAACCACATGAAGATTAGGGACAAAATTACATTAGTCATCATTTCTAATTTCTGCCTTTCTGTTTTGATTTATTGTTTAGCTTGGTGCAATTCGTAATAAGATGAAAAACATTGGGTTCGAATCAAGACTTCTACTAAATTTTTTTTCCAAATTGTTGAAGTAAAATGATATAAAAATCTATTTGAACATGATATAAGCTGAACTTCAAGAGAATGACCTATTAAAAAAAACCAAAACAAAAAAAAACCGCATGCAACCTGCAACCTTGTTGTTCCCACATACCACGTTCATATCTCTGGTGAGCAGAAGGTTGGAGAGCGTGAGGTCCCGGTGGAGAATGCCGTGGGAGTGGAGGTAGAGAATGCCCTCCACGGTTTGCCGCATTAGTCGCCGCGCCTCCTCCTCAGACAGTGGCTCCGCCCGAGACCTCAGATATCGCTGGAGCTCACCGTTGTGACAGATCTCTATCACCAAGTACACATAGTTGGCATCTTCAAAAAAGTTGTACAGCTGCAGAAAAAAATATTGAATCGTGTCAATTATCACAAAACAATGGAATTTATAATTTCATTTTGAAACCCCTCCAATATTCTGTTGGACTTTTTATTATATCTTTACAGTCATCAGTATTCATACTATTATACATTGAAGTTGGCAGAGTAGTCATTTTTTAGAACAAATCATCAGTATTCATACTATTATACATTGAAGTTGGCAGAGTAGTCATTTTTTAGAACAAATGGGACTTCATAAAATAGATTACAGATTGTTATTTCAACACTGCCTTTTAAATAGAAAGTTTAAAGACAATTCTATGCAAATTGATGCAACTGACAGGAGCCTACAAAAAATATGAATGCTACGTTCTTGTTGTATCCTTCGTTCATCTCAAAGCCTGTTTTCAATGCATGGAATCAAGTATGGATTGATTGTGTGTCCATTATAATAATAATGAATATAATATAACATTACAAATGCTACACATCACATCACATTTTCTAAAAAATGCTGAATGGCCATACATTCATAGAGATGTCACATTTTAGAATCACTTTTGTACATAGAACATTTTTATATACATTCTTTAGAATTCAGCTAATCTCATCATGTGACTATCTATTATTATAAACCTTACCTCAAGGACTGAAGGGTGCTTCAGCCTGGAGTGGATTTCCACTTCTTTCTTGACCCTAGCATTCATGCCAGCTGCTTTCATCATCTTCTTGTCAATCTACAAAGAATGAATGCAGCAATAAAAGACATCATGTTCCATCAAATGGCATTCTCGTTCCATCAGCACATAAATCCCTTTCAAAGTAACATCAATACATGTCAAATATTTTAATGTCCTTTCATGAGTTAAGAGTCATCCTGTTCTTTGCAAATTGAATTTGAAACTTCCACTAAAGAGAGACTGAAAATTAAAATTTACAAAATTAATATGATGAACAGTCTTTGCAAGGTGGAAATACAGTCAAACCTGCAGCATCCTGCTTCAACGGCCACCTGTAAAAAGACATCACACCTGTACAAACAGCCACTTCCCATTCCCCCTCCCCCCCCCCCCCCCCCGCTGTTTTTTGGGTTTTTAAATATTTTTTTATACATATAATGACCTGAGTAAGAGAGCCACTTTTCTCCTCGACAATAGGTGGCTGTCTTAGACAATTTAAACTAGGACAATCCTTTGACGTAGGTAACCTTGCAAATATTCTTAAAAATAACATACCATTTTAATAGCCACTTCCATTCCAGTTCTGCTTGAGCGGGCTCTATATACACAGGCAAAAGCCCCCTTGCCCAGGAGGTTGAGGACTTGATAGTCCTGGAGAACAGAATATCAAACGGTGAAACGAACATAAAAATTAAAAAGTGAGAAGTCAACAGGCACTTTTGTATTTTCCGAAAATATAAAAAGTAGACTTACTGTATGGGGAAAGCCACCTACAATGCTTGCTATTTTACGCAAGTTAGACATTGCCCCCTGTCTGTAGGAGCTCTCACTTCCTCTACCCTTTTCACTATTTGAATGAGTTAATTCAACATCCTGGGTTTTTTTCCCTTCCATGATTCCCGCCTTATTAAATGATGAAAATAATATTATTTCAAACACATTATAAAATTTTCTTCATCTAGAAAATTTTTGTTTATGATGTGTATGATATATGTACCTCTGATAAAACTCGGTGTGTTGAAGTTTTACTATTGTGACTTGTAACTCTTTGTAATATGTAACTACTGCACCTGTTAGCCCATATAGAGGTATATTATCTTTAAAGTAGGGTTGGGTCGGGCTCGCAAAATTACCGTCCGCGGGTAACGAACTACCCGCTGGCACTACCCGCAAACGAGCGGACGGGTAACGAACCGTCCGTTTGTGAAGAGTAGTTCGCTACTCGCTACACATCGTGCAGAGACAACAGTTCGTTTAGCGAGCGAGCGGACGGGCGGACCGAGAGACTCCATGCATTCGAGCTGGCGGACGGACGGACGGGAACGACTCCTTCCATTGCCTACAACTTACAACCCCCGCCCCCTCCCCCTCCAAAAAAAAAAAAATTAATTAAAAAATCACCCTCCTGCCTCATGTTGTAGCTAGCCGTTCACGGCGGAGATTTCCGCCCCCCGGCCTTTGCGATAATAGGAACGTACACAGTGTGCCCCACGCACGAGGTGAAAGGTTACACACATAGTACTACGTCACCAGCCTCTCTCACTCCATGTGGCACCGCTAGTGGTTTGAAACATCAGGCCTAATTAACAAACAATAGACGATGGGTCTAATCTCGCGTCGAGTATCTCGTCTGCTAGAGTTCGTCCGTTCGCCCGCCCGCCCAGTGAATAAAATTATTGTGGAGCGGACCCAAAAAACGAACTGTCTTGAGGTTCGCAGTTCGCTCTCATGGCCGTCCGTTACCCGTTCGCTCTGACTGAGTCCGCGAGTAACGAACCCGTCCGTCCGCTCGCCCCAACTTTACTTTAAAGCTAAAGTAGTATAATTTGTGGAGGCACTATTGTACTTTTGCAGTGGACAATATAAATTGATAACTTACAGGAGACTGAAGAGTTGTTAAAATTAAAATTATACAGTTGAAAACCAATAGCTTTATATAATTAAAAGTCAATTTCAGTTTTTTTTACAAGAAGCTACAGTGAGCACCTAGCACACCTCTGTGATTGGTCCAAATAGATGACATATTTCTCCCATCTATTTTTGTTGTCTTCTGGGGTTCCCCCCAAGACTCTTGGTTTTAGGTTTCCCTCGCCCATCCAGCTGACTAGATCTCGCCATGTGTATTTTTGTAAAAGCTATAAAATTTGTCTTATCTTTTATAAAATCTCAGCAATTCTCGTTCCATAAATTTACCTTCTTAAAGTTGTACACACATATATACACAAGCATATGTGCATACACAAACACACAAGTAAACAAGTGCCTGCCCACACACAGGCCCGCCACGGTGAGATCTAATCAACTGGTGAGGGAAGCCACGGAAGAAGACAAAAATAGATGGCGGAAATATGTCATCGATCTATATTAGGGCCAATCACAGAGGTGTGCTAGGTGCTCGCTGTAGCTTCAGGTGTATTTTTTAAAAGGGTGATAATCATAGAGTGTATATGGACCATGGAGTTAAAACTAGAAGTAATAGAATAGTAAAGAGTTTTACAAAAGTCCTTAGAAACTCCTCTAGCTTCCTCTCTGCATTATAATAAATTTAAAACTTGGTCTAAATTTCAATTATTTAAATTAGGCCCATTTATTTGACCATCACAGAAATGCCAATTTGTAAGTCAAGAAGAAGACAGTTCAATTAGAAGACCAGTGTCTATTATAATCTAAAAAGACTAGATCTAGATCTAGAATCTAAATCTAGATCTAGATTTAGCACTACTACTAGCCTAGCTCTACTGTCTGTACTGTGTCTACACACCAAGCGTTTCTTGTCCAAGGCCAAACCTACATCTTATAGTTACTCGAAGGCCTGACTTAAAACTCAAATGAAATGCATTTTTGACTTAATAAATAAAACACTTAAATCTAGGCCCTCTTTAAAATGAACTATCAAAATGGTATCATATCATATCATATAATCTAGTTTATTTTATAGACTATTAATGTTCATGTGTGTGTTATAACTTGGACTACGAATTGACCTGTACTACTGTGTAGTGATATTAGATCTAGACTCTAGAATCTAGATTAGTAATAATTCCCCCGCCCCCTTTTCCCCCATCTAGGGCTCAGGTGCCCTTGATTTGGTGTTTGAGTGCTGTTGACAATTGAAAATTGGGGGAGGCAGAAGATACATAAAACATGGTCATTCACACTGTGAATTGTAGCAGTAGGAGGTAGGCTCATAATAGGCCCGCCTATTCATGTCTGCCGACAGTCTGAACAGAGAACTCAGTAAAAATGCCGCTGATGAATGCAGCAGAAGTCAAGTCAAAATAAATGAAGAAGGGACAGACTGCTCACTCCCACATCATTGCTAAAACTTACATCAAGAGTTTTTGAATCTTTTTCTGTGTTAATTTGATTATCAGTAGTCATCGTGTAATATCAACGGGATGAAAGCCATATAAACGAACAGGTATCCAGTGTAAACAATCGGACATCTTTTCTCACTGGATAGTAACAAGTTCAAACATGTTAAATTATCGCCCTTGTTTTGACAAAGTTTGAAAGAGATCAGAAGTATAGAATGAAGATAGGGCAGTTTACCTCAATGTTTTCAGGCCCACTACTCATTTTCAGTCTTTTCGACGGATTCATCCAGGCTTTATATCCTTACATATCCCAAGAAGTGCCAAAAACATTGCAAACATAATGGTGCCATCAAAACATGAACAGCACTGGACGCCCATCATTTCGCGTTGCCATATTTTTGAAGTGCGCGCCGCATCAAAACAACGAAGTTCTGCAGTTAATATAACGTCATGGTGGATGTCACAGTGTGACAATAATTCAACAAAAGAGTGTTGATAAATAATAATTATACAATATGAAATTTAAAAAAGTCATTATAACAATTTTATTTTCATTTTTAGAAGGATGAATACTTTTTTGCCCTGAACAGCTGGGACAAATTTGCAGTAGCCCAGAAAAATTTTCCATCTTTTTAGGAGTATTCTTTTTTAAATAACGTTTGATCAGAATTTAAAAAATGGAAAATAAAGGGATACGCTCTCTGAATATAAAACACCAAAATGAATTTTGCTGAAATATATTGCTTCTCAGCATCATTGAGACAAGTGTGTCTCATGGTAAATGGACTACTCTTTTAGGGATATATTTTTACACTACACCGTCATAGCCAATAATGCAATGAGCGAAGGCGTTTTGTTATTCACCGTTCACGTGTGTTCTAGAATTTTCACACACTATCAGTATAAGACTACACACTGTGGTACCGGTATTATTAACACATGAAAATTAGCGGACTGTATTGTCTTCAATACGTGATATCACATCGACTTCTTTTTTCTTAAAGGTAAGAGAATGTTTTTACGCCACTAAAATTGAAGACAAGGTTTAGTCTTAGTCAATAGACCCAGCCTATCCCTTGGCCTGGAATCTTGGTGATGGTCTCACCCCAGACAAAACGCCTCCTTTTTCTTCTGCCATCATAGACAGAGACAGATCTTCTAGTGTCGTTTTTGTGGAGGGGATCCGAATTTGTCTTTCTTAGTTTAGTTCAGTTTAGTTTTGAAGTACGGCTGTGGTCAGGCTAGTCGCCTATCAGCCGTTCGTTGCTTTCATTGCTTTGTTCATTCCTTCCTCTGCTAGATTCTAAGTTGTTTTCACACTCTAAATCTGTAGGTTGGTGCTCGGATCTGGCAGTTTGAAACCAATTTATGTTCATGGAGAATTTAGATCTAGATTCTATGTGCCTTCCAGACCATGTCAATCCTATTCTTGAAAGCATTGGTGGTTGAGCACCTTTCATTTGTCTTATCTTATAAAGACTGTTGATTGTCAAGAACACTTAATAATTAATACATTTTAGGACAACTTGGCGTTGTAGGATAATTTTGATATAAGGTAAGACTAACGAAGTGACTAGATCTAGATCTATTCGGACTTTGATTCTTCTCAAGCATAACATCACTTCCGACTTCCTGTGACTCGTGACTCCGGCTTCCTGTCCTGCGCCTGCCTCACTCGTGACTCGCCTCAGGCTGGGTAGAGACCGGGATCACTTCGGGCAAAAATGGCGTTTTGTGCAGGAGCCGAGTTTTTATCTCAGGATGAATTTGAGGCCGGCCTGAAAAGTTATAGCGCTTCTAATAAATGTTTATTTGTCAAGAGGTCATCAGAAGCAATTAAAGTTAAAGATGGCTTGTTAGCGTGTGTCGGGGTCGGATGGGCGGCCAGCACACATGTGGCTGTGTGCGTGTCGGGGAGGGGGGTGGGGGGGCACTATCGGTGCGGGCGTTGAACGTAGCATACGCGTCAGTCTTTTTTCCCCCGGCAACTGATCAATTTTTATGAATCGTTATTACAATAATAAGCTAGTCTTGACATAGATCTACGTAATTGTGCGCTGGTGTATGGAATCAAAAGTTGCCGTATGCTCAGCTCTACACTCAGCAACACAACTTTTTCTTGGTAAACAATCGAGATGACACAGGCTTGTGTATTTGAACGAATCGGTCTTTTTTCTTTTACACTCTCATAATATGCAGCTGCAGGTGCCAGGTGGTCTGCTAATCTTCAATTTTACCTTTTTCTACAACAAAGAAAGTAGCCTGAAACATGGGGGGTGGGGGGGGGGGGCGTATCAATGAGGCGGCGGGCATCGGATTGACAGAAAAGGTGTGGGGGAAACTAAAAAATGGCGGAAAATTGGAAGCACTGAACGATAGATCTATAGAACGAATTTCCTTTTTTCCGGGGAAGTGGTTAATAGAAATACGATCGACCTCTCACCCCGGGTGAGACTTGCCACCGCAGGCTATTCTCACCCGGTGTGAAACAAGACCTGTTTTTCCTAATTTCGGAATACTTTCTATCAATGTGGATGATCAAATGGATAAAGACAAAGAAAAGATTATGTTATAGCATAAAAGTAAGCTAATTTTATCGACTACAAAGATGCTATGGCTATTTCACTTTTCGAATCGAGCCGAACTACGGGGGTCGCCATTTTGTTTTGCCCGGAAGTTCTCGCAAGATCTACTCCTCCCTTCTTCTCTCTCTCTATCTCTTTCTGAATACTGTCTATCGGTGTGGACGATCAAATTGACCAAAACAAAGTTAAAAAATGATGTTAAAACACAAAAGTAAATTAATTTGGTCGTCTACAAAGATGCTACGGCTATTTAACTTTTCGAATCGAGCAAAACTACGCGGGTCGCCATTTTGTTTTGCCCGAAAGTTCTCGCGCTACTCCTCTCTCTCTCTTTCTTTCTCTCTCTCTCTCTCTCTCTCTCTCTCTCTCTCTCTCTCTCCACTGCCCACAAACAAAATTGTAAGCTTTTTTTTAGTAGGCTAACAGTAGTAATAATGGAACGTTTGTTCACGGCACAGAATTCTACAATTTTTCTGTTATCACAGTGTAGAATTCTGTGGTTTATGGTGAACGCAAAATTGGTTGGCCTAGATCTAGGCTATAATGATGAACGCGCACCGGGTGAGAATAGCCAAAGGACTCGCCTGCACTATTCTCACCCGGGGTGAGAAAAGAGGTGGCCCTCAAATAAAGGGGGTGGGAACTTCCGTAAAAGCACCGAGAAGTCAACTCCCCCACCCCCCAACATTATAGATCTAGTCTCAATGGAACATTTGGCGGAAAGGGGAGGGGGGGGGGGGTGTGCTAGATCTAGATCTAACCCTTTTTTGCCTGTGTCACAAGTTTGCTTTTATCTAGCCTAATAAATTTTCCCGTTAAATGTTAATAATTTCACTCATGACAGAAAATGGCCACCTCTGTTCTCACCCCAGATGAGAATAGCGCAGGCGAGCCTTTTGCCATTTTTGGCTATTCTCACCCAGTGTGCCTTCACTGTGATAGGCCAACCAGTGTAACGTTCAACGTGAACAAACGTTCCAGTGCTCTTGTGTTGAAAGTGTGCAATTTTGTCTGTGGGCAGTGAGAGAAAGGGAGAGAGAGGGAGGGGGGGGAAGGAGTAACGCGAGAACTTCCAATAAAATGGCGACCCGCGTAGTTCGGCTCGATTTGAAAAGTGAAATAGCTGAACAGCATCTTTGTAGACCACCAAATTAATTTACTTTTGTATTTTAACATCATTTTTATGTTTGTTTTTGTCAATTTGATCATACAGACCAGACAGTATTCAGAAAGAGATAAGGAGTAGATCTAGATCTTGCTAGAACTTCCGTGCAATTTTTAAGTAACAAAATGGCGACCTGCGTAGTTTGGCTGGATTCCAAAAGTGAAATAGCCATATATAGAATCTAGCATCTTTGTAGACGACCAAATTAGCCTACTTTTGTATTATAGACGTCATTTTTTCTTTGTTTTTGTCTATTTGATCCTGGATCGCTAACAACGTCTATTTGATCATCCACACCGATAGGCCGTAACTTAGTATCCAAAATTAGGAAAAACATCTTATTTCACACCGAGTGAGAGTAGCCAGCGCTAGCAAGTCTCACCCGCGGTGAGAGGTTGATAGTATTTTTATTCTCACCTGGGGTGAAGATAGCCACTTCCACAGAAAATATTAAGCCTCTAACGTGTTTTTACAAAATTATTTTCATTGACATTGAGAGTAGAATTTTAATGTTTTAACAAGTGTGTTTTTAAAACTCTTGATAGAAATATCACCAACCTTGGCCTTGGGACGAGACTTGATATTAATTTAGGCCGGCTCTATTTCTCCGAACATTCGTGAAAATAAACTTGAACTCTAGATATTTCTCTGAACGGTTTCCGTTCTCGAGATTTGTTGAAAATAAGCGAATGGAGTGGCCCATGTGTGTGTTTGTGTGTGCGTCTGTGTGTGTGAAGGTGTGGCGGGGTGGGGTGGGGGGTTACTTGAAGGATTTTAGTTTTTGCTGGGTGACTAAATGCAAAATAGATTACTGCCAAGGTCGAGCAGTCTTGTTTTCTCGCAGTACCTTTTGAAAGTAATTTTCAAATTGAAGTAGTATAGTCCGGGAACGTTGCCCCAACCACAACTGAAGCTGAATATTCAGACATTTAAAGCTCTAGAAATTGAGTTCGATGCAAAAAATGCTTCTTCCCAGTCCTCGCATTATAGCAGAATGAAAAATAACGCCTAAATCTCGCAAATAGCCAAAAAATCTTGAGATTCGGATACCGTTCGGAGCAATAGAGTTCAACTTTATTTTCCCGAACGTTAGGAGAAATAGTGCAGTTGTAGGTTCTTCACCCAGGGCGAGAGGGCGAGCCACTCTCACCCTGTGTGCGTTTACCGGATACCCAGTATAAACAAATGTTCCAGCGGTCTTGTGTTGAAAGTGTGCAACTATGCCTGCGGGCATTAAAAAAGAGAGAGAGAGAGAAAAGGAAGTCTAGATTTCGACCCTTGTTGATTTTGTGCATAGTGATTTTAAAAAATATAATTACAGGAAAAACTATAACACACAATAAAATGAAATTAAACATGTGAAAAGAAAAGTGGTGGTGGAAGTAATGATGCTGTAGGCTAGTGGTGGTGGAAAGACACTTGAGTTGTCGGTTACCGTGTACTTAGACACTGCCATTGGGCAATGAGAGTGCAGTCTTTTGACTTTTGACTCAATTACACAGTACAGTTCTAGTAAGTAATTTGTAGTTCGAATTCAGGTTTCACGTAAAATCCCCCGACGACAGTTATTTATGTAACCTGCTTACACTCATATGACTCACTTAAAAGTCGAGTCTGAATAAATAAAAGATTTTTTTTCGGAGTCCAAATAGATAAAACCCATCCGAATAGAAAAAAAAATCTTTTCGGACTTGAGTCTGAATAGAGATGGCTATAAAATTAAGGTAGTGTCAATTGCCACCAAGTGACGCTGTGACATTTGACGCTGGCGTCAATTGCCACCGAGTAAAATTTACTAGACTAAAATGGAGCTCTTACAGTGGTATTTGTGCTAGGTGTTAGTGTTCTGAACTGCGTTTGTGAACTTCCGCTTCAGCACATCTCTCTGTGCCTCTGTGTGTGTGTTTCTCTCTCTTTTTCTCCCTAACTCCCGTCCCCCGGGTGCCGGATTTATCATTTTATGTTCCCCGATATGTCTTACGTATTTCGGCACCTCGCCTTCTGTCCGGTCCCGTGTCAGTCCAGCCCCTAGCTCAGCGCACGCACGCCGAGCATCATCCATGTGATGTCTGGGTCCCGTATTCCCGCAGCTCAAGTGTGTGTTCGTCAGTCTGCTTAAGTTTGTGGCCTACTTCTAGAATCGCCTGTGTTAGTTCTACACCGAAGCATAGGCTAGCCTACGTCTCATTCAAAACATGCCGAGTTGGTAGCTCTAGATGTTCGTCCAATGAAACTAGAGAACAAATTGACCCACTTAGACAGGAGCTCGATAGGAAAGTCAGGAAACAAGACTTCCATTTTACTGTACAAGATCTTTCAAATGAGCTTGAATTTATGCAAAGTGATATTCCTTTATAAAAATAAGTTTATTTATAGATAGTTTTGAATACAATTGTACACACAAAAAGAAGAATTTGAGTGCAAGACATTCGGAAATTGACCTAATATTTGCTTTCGCACCCCCGGAGTGTGTGTAACTACTCGTTATGCCGTATCAACTTATGAGAGGGGGTTAGATCTATAACTTATTCATGTGTTCGTAACACATTATGTCATTATGAATAGAAAGCTGTTTATAAAAGATAGAGGGTTGTTTTCAGACTTGACACCGCTTCACTCGGTGGCAATTGACGCTACGTAAAATTAATGTGTGGTCCATGCGAGTTTACTTCAATGGTCGAAATATGACAATATGTTAATCACAGGTGGCTATAGATCCGTGCCTGGCTAACGGGGTTAAAGTGTCTGTCGGTGGTACATCAGTGTCTGCTGTGACTAGTGTCACCGTAGAGAGTCTCTGCCACAGCTGCTACTTTTGAAAATGTGCTTCAGTATGTGTTTTTATTCGTTCTTCTACTTCTATACTTCAGTGTGCAACACTTCCAACTTCCATATTGTATTCATGCATGTTTAAGATATATAATAAAAATATACCATTCACATCCTTTTCAAACATGGTCTCATTTTATAAAGGTGAGAAGAAAATAAAGATCGTCCGTTCTATCAAACTGGAAATCAACTCTGGGTCAGTGAATTAATGTGAATCATTGTGAAATGTGGATGTCAGTATTCTTTTCTCCACACTTTTTTGTTTCGTTAGTCTTACACTTGAGTCTTTTTTCACAGGAATAAGAAATTACAAAAAATATGTTTTAGATTTTTAAGCTGTTCCACTACAAGTTATCAACAATCTATTCGAATTACTTGTTAACTTTTAACACTATTCACACTCATACATGTTCACATAGTTTGTTTTATTTTAAAGAATGCTATTTTTTTTCTCCAGATTGCTAAAGGTACCAGGTACAAACCGTGAAGAATGTCAGTGGTGGGTCTAGATGTGGGCACTTTTTCCTCATACATTGGTGTGGCCAGAGCTGGTGGCATAGAAACCATTGCCAATGAGTACAGTGACAGATGCACGCCGTAAGTAGTATTATAAGATGTTATTATTTTAGAAGATATTCAATAATTGCCTACATTGTCTTTTGGGCAAACTGAGCTCTATATGGCCATGTCTAGATTATTTTATGAAAATTCCCCGGATTTCTATCCACAGTTGTTTTAAACTTTTGAATTTTAATAAATAAAACAAAAAACATGTTTGTAAAAAAATATGTCTGGTCTGTTTTGTATGTGCAGCAGTTTGTGTTATTTTTCTCAAAATGCCTAATAGAACACAAAGGTCTAGAGGCAATTATCAAATGAGTGTGAGAATGTCTCCTCTATTTGTTCTGTCTACAGCTTGTACATTGAGCACTTAGTTAGTGTTGACATCATGTACAGTCAACTTTGGTTTAACGGCCTCCTGTTATAAGATTATCACCTGTATCTGCCACTTCCCTTTTCCCTCCTTGCGTTTTTTCAAACATTACAACATAGTGTAAGATTTTAAGACAGCTACTTTTCTCCTTGACATTGGACTGGGTGACACAAATTTGATTGTGCAATCTATGCCGCGGGGGAAATTTACATTTATAATGTAATTATTCTTATAATAACTAAATCATGTTAATTATTATTTATTTTTTGGTTAAATTTTATAAATTGCTGAACAAAAGAGATTAACTTGGAATTGATGAAGGTCAACATTTCTTCAGTCTTTTTAAAAATTGGAATCATGTTTTGGTCTAAATGATGTCTTTTTGTTGATGGAGGTAAATATGTTCAAAGTGTTTTTTCTCCTTTTTTTTGAACAGCTCATATGTTTCTCTCGGAGAGAAAAACAGAAGTGTAGGTGTTGCTGCAAAACAGCAGGCTGTCACAAACTTCAAGAACACTGTGTGTGGGTTCAAGAGGGCCATCGGACGCAAGTTTGAGGACCCCATTGTTCAGAGGGAACTTCAGAGAAACTTCAAACCGAATACCGTTACTAAAGATAGCAATGGAGATGTTGTTTTTCAGGTATGGTATAGTTGTTGTTGTTGCTTTTTTATTTTTTTGTGCATTATTGAATTACAGCTGCCCACCGTTACAGTATCATTTTACTCAGTGATTTCGTGTCAGTTCTACATTTTTGCCATTATCTCTGAATTGGTTGGTTGTGGACAGTGTTTTGTTTTCTAGTTTTTGTCAGAGTTTTACCATACTTGCAACACAATTAGGTCATTCAGGTGCCCAAAATAAGAGGTTTGACTAGATAGTAGAAGGAAGAAAAATAAGGGAAATAAATGTTTGACTGGAAAGAAGGAGCAAACCACATCAGCGCAACCCCTCCCCCCCCCCCCCCCCAAACCACCGACGTGTTGTTTGAAAGAAGGTGATGGTCTTCTAGGAGAATAATTATATGCTTGTGCCATGCTTCCTTTTATTCCAAATCAAGAAATTGATTTGTTGGCTACTATTTGCTATTTATGTTCTAATATGAGAGCAGAGGGTCATTTCTGAAATATTGTTCAGTTGTTCCCACTTATTAGAAAAGATCATAATACTTGCTTTTATATAATGCATATCCACACCAGTACAACGCACGTTATCGTCGCTTTACTGCTATAATTACCCCCAGCAGACCCTAGAAACATGGCTAGGAAACATTCTCGGCTTGCAAGGAAGCGTACAGTGCAAGCCTCGCATTACAAGCATTGAAACATTAAAGAATTGACAACCTTTCTCTGTCTTTAGAAGTTTAATTATTCCCGCTTGAATGAAGTGGGGAAAATTCTTGTCAAGTGCCTTCCCCAGGGGCACAACATTAAGCTTTTGAGGTGAAACGAACTCAAGACATAATTGTTGGGCCAGAGAGCCTTACCACAAGACCATTTTTTTTGTGTGTAATGGGTTTTATGTTTTGTTTTGTTTCAGCTGTCTTATCTGGGTGAAAACCAGAACTTCAGTGCGTCTCAGCTGACTGGCATGCTCCTGAATAAGCTGAAGTTTACTGCAGAGGCTAACTTGAAGACAAAAGTTGTTGATGTCGTTTTATCTGTAAGTAGAATTTGTGGTTTTCTTTGTTTCTGTTATGGGTCTTGGATAATAATAAGAAATTTTCTCCTCCATGTTGTGAGAAGAATATAATTACCTTTTGTTTTTTTGTTTAAGAGCCCTTGGCAGAAAAAGCGAACTCTCGTAAGAATATAAGACAGGAACTTTCTTTTGCTGTAAGTCCTTTTGAGAAGAACATATGTGAGGCAGCGTGGTAAAGTCAGGCGCTCGTCAAAATAATAAAGTGAAGAAATTGGCATTTTTCAGCAAGTTTGGGAATTTTTAATCAAATTTTTGTTTTTTGTCTCAACACCTTCCATGCCCATTAAAGAACACATTTCTGTGTGGATTTTACTGAAGAATGTTGATTAAAGGCATAAAAGATGTGAATTTTCAGTTTCCACAGGCTCTCAAGCTAAGGAAATAAATATACTTTGGCTGTCATTTTCTCGCTAATTTTACCTTAGAGACCAGGCGAACCCCATCTCCTTCCCTTGTTAATATCTCGACTTGTGTCCAAGATAAATGAATTACTTTTTCGTCGAAAGTAAGGCAAATGGGCCTGCTTTATGATGATACCAACCACTCCATCATCGTCATCCTGTGCAAGATCTGCGACAGACTTCGGCTATCATGTTTCTCCATTCTTTCCTTTGCTCGGATTTTCTCAAAAAAGCTACGTTTCTCTGACTTTCCCTGTTACCCTTTTGTTTACCCATAGGAACAACTCCATATGACCCAAAATTGACGAGCACCTGATTCCACTGTGTCGTGACACATATAATTTCTACTCTGTTGTTCTGCAGTAGGTTTTATTTTTCTTGTTTCTAGCTTTTTTTTCCTTTGGACATATTACTGGCAAAATCTGCAAGATGCATGTCTGTGCATTTATTGATACCTGATGGACATAATTTAAAGTCAGGTTCTGTTGAAGTTTAGTTGGAATTTTCTCCTTTGATTATAGGTTCCATCATTCTACACTGATGTTGAAAGAAGAGCTCTACTGGATGCCTGTCAACTTGCTGGGTTGAATTGTTTGAGGATTTTGAATGATACAACTGCAGGTAACATTGTTTGTCTAAATATGGAAAGCAATCAGTTTTTTCTTCATTCCTTGTGTGATCAATTATGGTTACTATTGAACACCACGAGACATTTTCTCCTTATAAATGACGTTTTACATGACATTTTATTTGTTTTTCGTTTCTCCCCGTCAAAGCATGGACTATTTTTACTTTTAATGTGCTGAAGTATGGTAGGCTTCTTCTCACACACACACACACACACACACTCACGCGGAAAGTGCTTCCCTGTTGTCATGCTTGTCCCACAGCCATGTATGTATCTCAATGTTACTTAATCTTTAGAGCCTTTTACTCGTTTGCCATTCGCATTCTGGTTACTGTGTGTGGTTGGCGGATGCTATGATGTGGTTTGCTCCATCTTTCCTGTCAAACACCTATCGTCCTTATTTCTTCTTCTTTGTATCATGTTAAGTATCTCTTTTAACAAGTAATCTTGGAAGTGTATGTAAGCTGTCTTTGTGTAATAAGTGTTGTACTACTCTCAGTAAGTGGGTGGTGGGCGGTTGCTCTGATGTGGTCTGCTTCTTCTTTCCTATTAAACATCTGTAGTCCTTATCTCCCCTTCTTCTTTTTTATGTTTGTTACACTCTTGTAACACCTCTAATCTTCTGGTGCTCACATGACCTTATGCAGTTGCGAGCGACATAAAACCTCTACTAAAACAAACCACTCGGTAAATCTAATTCATTCTGGTCTCTATCTGTGTTTTGTTATCTGGAACAGTTGCTCTGGCCTATGGAATCTACAAGTCGGACTTGCCAGCTGAAACTGAGAAGCCACGTCATGTTGTGTTTGCTGATTTTGGCTACTCGTCCTTACAAGTGTCAGCTTGTTCTTTCCACAAAGGGAAACTCAAGGTACGCTGGGGTGATATTTGGGGGGGGGGGGGGGGATGAATGGAGTTCATATTCATATTATTTTTTAAAATTTTGTATTATTATTATTATTATTATATTTTTTAATTTTATTTGGGTAAAGATATTTAGTGGGTGGTTGGCGGGTGCTCTGGTGTGGTTTGCTCCTTTTTTTAAAATCAAACATCTATCTTCCTTTATCTCCCCTCCTTCTATAACTTTAAAAAAAAGACATTTGTGCCACTACACTGTGAAATCAAGCACCCTGTTGTTTCTGTCTATCTGTTTTGCACCTTCCCTGCACTATGTGATGACCATAACAGTGTCAATGTGCTTTTCTTTTCTAAAAAAGAACCCAAACAAGTTGATGTTAAATAAATCCCTTTGGTTTCACCCAAAGTGTTTAAAACGTGAGGATGGAGTGCTAATTGTTTTCTGCTTAACCCATGTTTTGGTATGTTGTCACCCCTCAGGTTTTGGCCACCTCCTTTGACTACCAGCTGGGTGGGCGGGACTTTGACGAGCTCCTGGCCAGTCACATGACGGAGGAGTTCAAGAAAAAGTACAAAGTCGACGCCAAGACGCGGCCGAAGGCGTATATCCGCCTCACCCAGGAGTGTGAGAAACTGAAGAAGCTGATGAGCGCCAACGTGCAGCCGATCCCACTCAACATCGAGTGCTTCATGGACGACAAAGATGTCACTGCTTCCATGGACAGGTTTGTTGATCGTTCAAATCTGATAGACATTGGGTGGTTGGTGGGTGCTCTGGTGTGGTTTGCTTCTTCTTTCCTATCAGACATCTATCGTCCTTATCTGTCCTCCTTTTTTGTTTGTTACTCTCTTGTAACACCTCTAATCTTCGGCACTTATATGACCTTATTGTGTTGCAAGTGCACCAAAACACTTACTAAAACTAAATCTGTTAGACAACCATTTTATCCCCCAACATAGACTGTCTTGGACAATTTCAACTGGAATTGCTATGATCATTTTTTGCCACTGTTTTTGCTGTCTCTTCTATTTCCTGTATCTTTATATCTCACATTTTGTCCAACTTTTTCCTTTTTTGTAAAATTTGGACCTTTTGTGTCTCATTATGCGTATAACATGCTACTAATCTTTTATATTCCTGGTACTGATCGTTTATCAAAGTGGAAATTTTTACAAATCCCTCAAGATATTTTACAGATTATCGGTAATTGGTAACATACTTAATTATTGCTTTTTTCTCAGAGCTGCATTCGAGGAAATGGCTGCTCCTTTGCTAAAGAGAATTGAGGATACCTTGATGGCTGTCCTGGATAGCTCAAGTAAGTTTCTTATCCGTGGGGGTCTGTGTGTTGGTTTTTTTTTTTTTCTCTTATTATTTGGCATAGAAATTTTCGTTGGTGGCCTGGGCTTGAAATGTAATGTAAGAAATATGGATGGGTTTTGCATCACTTTTCATAATAGCATACAGCAGTCTTACGCTAAGCAGTTTAGTTGTACCTGAAAACCTGAATTACATAGTGAAGGAAAAAAATTGGCTGTCTTTGAAATTGTTGGGGTTTTTTTTCTCCCTGTTACGCTCTGACTGAACATGTGTCTCTCCTTTCACTAGTGTCTTTCTGTTCTTTCTGTCATGTGGTGTTTCTTCAGTTGAGTTTTATAACGGCGATTCTATCTTTGTCCTTGCCCTCTCCAGAACTGAAGTCTGCGGACATCCACTCTGTGGAGATTGTGGGTGGGTCCTCCAGGATCCCGGCCTTCAAACAGTTGGTGCAGAAGGTGTTCAGCAAGGAACCCAGCACAACCCTCAATGCTGACGAAGCCGTCGCAAGAGGCTGTGCCCTGCAGGTATTACAGGGGATGTCCGAAGCTGGGGGAAAATAGAAATGTGTGGCGACGTGGTGGAATCAGGCGTTCTTCAATTTTGGGCGTATGGGGTTATTAGTATCACCTTAAAGCCTGTTTATTTGCTTTCCTTTTGGTGAAAAAAAATAGTCATCTATGTTAAATATAGGTCAAAATATTAACGATTGAAGGAAGTCAGTGTCGCTTGATTTCAAAGGTAAAAAGTTAGTGAGAAAATGGCCCCTAAAATTTGGTAACTTCCATAGCCTGAGAGTCCTTGGAAACTGAAAATTTACAATTTTTGTGCCTTTAATCAAGGGGGGGGGGGGGTTCAGTAAAATCCACACAAAAATGTGTTTTGAAATGGTTATAAAAGGTGTTGAGCCAAAAAGAAAATTAGAAGAAAAAAATTGCCCATCAGCCATAAAAAAAAAAAGGCCTATTTCTTTTACTTCATTATTTTGATGAGCGTCTGCGTTCACCACGATGCCTCGCACTTCCAAAGTTGGGGGAAAATAAGAATGAATTGTTGTTACCCGTCCAGCAACAGCTGGGCTCCCGCTCTTCTGTCCATTGCCACGGAGTGATGAGTGCAGGTTTGTTGTAGTTGCTGTAATGTTTCATAGAGGGTGTTGTCAGCGTTTGGTCTTCGAAGAAGAAGTGTATAGAAATAAATTTAACACACACACAGACTCCACCTATATACACAAAGAAATGAAAACTTGCCTGCAACTTATTTTTTAAATTTTACAATTAGGGTTAATGGTATGCCTGCCATTAAAGTTTAAGAGGGTCTCAAAATTGATCTATGAAAGTAAATTATGATCTCAAATCCTTTGAAAACCTAAAGTTCGCCACATTTTGCTGGTCGTATTTGTAGTATGCGTTTAGCTTTTCCCATTTCAAGAGTGTCCTTTACATGCAGTTCACTTATATTTGTAAATTCCTTGTTCCAATCACCAGTGTGCCATCCTATCGCCAACATTCCGGGTCCGAGACTTCAGCATCACCGACTGTCAGCCGTACCCAGTGTCCTTGTTCTGGCAGCCCCAGAGTCAGATGGACGAAGACAGGTGGGGATTGGAGTGACTTCTCCTTCTTTTTTTTTCCTTCTTCCCTCTCAGATCAAAGAACGAGTCTTTTCATTGAAGAAGGAGGAAAATACATACCATCATGTAGAAACGTCTTAAAGCCACTCGTTGGAGAAATGACTAATAATCCATTCACTGGAGAAGTGGCAAAAATCCATTCATTGGAGAAAGAACTAAGATTCCATTCACTTTAGGAAATGACAAATTAGTTTTTATACTGGAGAAATGACAAAAGCCTTGGATCAATGACAGTAACATCAATCTTATTTGTTGGAGATGTAGGGAAGGGGTTTTCAGTGCTCATAAAACTGTATTGATACAGAATTGCATCTAGTTGACATTTTCAAATATAAATTACATGTATTATCCATTATAATCAAGATTTGCGGTTTTTCCAAAAAATTACACAGTTGTGGAGAATTAAGTGGGATAAAGCGTGAGAAACATTTTTTCTTTGAGTATATATTTTGTTTTCCTGGGGATTTAAAAAAAACCATATTCTTATCCATTTCAGCTCACTTGAAGTATTCTCACGCTTCCACGCTGCTCCGTTCTCCAAAATGCTCACATTTTACCGCAAGGAGCCGTTCACTTTGTCTGCGTCTTACTCGAATGCGAGTGACATCCCTTTTCCCTCGACAGATATAGGTGAGTTGCATGGTCACTTTCTATTGATTTTTAGAAGCTTTTACTTGGTGTTGCACTTTTTTTCTTTTGTCTGCTTCACTTGAACACTTTGCCCCCATTTGATGTGTTTAGATGATGATGTGATGTAGCAACAAAAATGTTGTTGGAATGATCTTCTTTTAGACATAAGTAAAGGTATAAATTTCTTTTCTGAATGGTTTTCGTGGCCTTTGAGTGTAAAAATATAGTCTGGTGGGGTACAGTCAAACCTGCTATATCAGATGCCTGTCCAAGGCGATTGCCCTCACCAAAAACCACTTTCTATCTGTTTTCTCTCTTGAATTTTTATTTTAGTAATGGCACTGTCTAAGACAACCAGTTTTCTCCTTGACAGAGGGTGTCCATCTCGGACAATTTTGAATGTATATATGTAGAGCGCTTAGTGTTTGTTTAAAAAATATTGGCCTTTTACTCGCGGCAGTGGTAAATCCTCTATTGCAGTCTTTTGTTACTTTACATTGGAACTATTTGGTGTGTGTTGGGCCTGCAAAATGAGTTGGTCGAAGGATTTGTCAAAATTGTAGTTTATCAGGCAGTGTAGCCTTCTGTGATGGGGGAAAAGCATGAAAAAGACCTTAGGATAGCTGTCATTTGAGCCTTTGTTTCCTTTTTTCAGGAGAGTTCAAAATCAACGACATCGTCGCTCAAACCAATGGGGAGAGTTCCAAGGTGAAGGTGAAGGTCAGGGTGGACAGCCACGGCGTGTTTCGCATCATCTCGGCCAGTATGTACGAGAAGCTGGAGGGTGCGGAGGAGGAAGAGGAGGGGAAGGACAGCATGGAGGTGGATGGCGAGGATGCGAAGAAGAAAGAAGCCAGCAGTGGGGACGCGTCTCAGGTGAACGGAGACCAGGTGAGGATCGATAAAGTTGTTGCTGTAGAAGTATATCATCGACTTCATTGTTCTCATAAGCACTTAAGTTTTGTTTGAAGTTTTGAGAAAGTTTGAAGAGAAAAACAAAAGAAAGAGCACTTAAACCAGAACCATGGCTTTGCCACTCGTTATTTTTTTTCGGTTACAAAATGGGAAGGAAATAAAACAATAATTGAATATTGTACCGTGTTCCTTGATGGTTTTATTCGAATAACAACTTTATCTGGGAACCCCCAGAAGTTGATTACGCCATTTGTGGAAACGGCTCATGTATGTGTGAGAATATTCACTTTTGTATTGGCTCGCTTTGTTGGGTTTCAGTGAGTATCGTTTGCATATAGGTCACAGGAGAAAAATTGTGGACGTTGTTTTATCTTTTTGATGAACATTGGGACTCGAAATGTATCTTATGTACTTGGAGTCTCGGTGAGAATGTATTGAAAACGGAAGTTACCATAGAAATGTTGCGTAAGTTATTTTCTCTTTTAAAAGAAAGCTGGAACTCTAAATATGTCTTTTGTACTGTCAGAACTCCTCACAGCTCTAGAACTTATTGTATAGACCTCCCTGCTGAAGAAACTGTTCTCGGTTTGTCGGGATTCGGAGTGTCCTAAAGGTTTTTTTATTTTGGTTATGAACTTAGTGTGGCTTGAATACAGTTTGAACCTGCTCTGGCGGCCACCTGTATAAGACAATCACCTGTTCCAATAGCCCATTCCCTTTTCCTTTCTTGCGTTGGTGGGTTTTTTTGTTGTTTTTTTTTTTAATTAAAAAAAAATATTTAAAAAAAATAAACGTTATGATGTGGGTGGTTGGCAGGTGCTCATGTGTGATATGCTCCTTCTTTCCTATCAAACATCTATTGTCCTTATCTTCCCTTCTTTTTTGAGTTTGATACTCTTTTGTAAACCTCTAATCTTCTGGCGCTCATATGACCTTATGCAGTTGCGAGCGCCGTTAAACCTCTACTCTCTACTGAAACTAAACTAAAACGTTATGACACTGTAAGTCTGACACTTTTCTCCTGAGCAATGATAGGCCGCCATCTCAGACAGCTTCAGCTGTAATTCATATTTTGTCAGAATTTGCTGAAAACTTCAAATGGTTTTTACTCTGTCAGAGCGCTTCTGAAATGGAGCAGTCGAGTGACCAGCAGAACATGGAAGAGAGCAGCAGTGGGGAACAGCAGAACTCACAAGAGAAATCTGGGGATGGGAACTCTCAGGTACGGACATTGTCGAGTCTAGTAGATCCACGGATTGTGTGGATGCTGATCAGTTGTTAACTACTTTTGTTTTTGGTCAACTTTGTGCTTGTTATAAAAGTAAAACGTGTTGCTACGCTTTGAAGTATTGTGGTATTGATTTGTTACTTATCAAAGTAAGGTGGTATTGTTTTGTTATGTACTGAAGTATTGTGGTATTGATTTGTTACTTATCAAAGTAAGGTGGTATTGTTTTTTTATGTGCTGAAGTATTGTGGTATTGATTTGTTACTTATCAAAGTAAGGTGGTATTGTTTGTTATATGCTGAAGTATTGTGGTATTTTTTTGTTGTGCTTCAAAGTAAGGTGGTATTGCTTTGTTACATATCATATCAAAGTAAGGTGATATTGTTTTGTTATGCATCAAACTTATGTGGTTTGGTTTTGTTATACTCTAAAGTATTGTGGTATTGTTTTGTTACACATCAAAGTAATGCATTATTGTTCTGACTTTGACTTCTGCAGGAAGGAGACAAGAAGTCAGGCAAGAAGACGAAAAAGACGGTAAAAACGATCGACCTTCTTGTGGAGTCCAAGGTCTACCAGTTGTCCAAAACAGATTTGAATAATCTGACTGAGAAAGAGGTGAGAACTGGCAGCAAATCAAAACTTGCTCTTGTATATTGTATTGAGAGAATAAAATCACCATAAAAATATTATTTTTGTATGGCCTCAAAATTGTTGAGGATTTTTCCCTAGTGGGTTTTTGTGTTTTGTCTCTTGTCCAGACATATATATATATCTTACTGGTCAGTATTAGGATTGCAAACATGGTGCGGGTGGTTGGTAGGCACTCCGGTGTGGTTTGCTTCTTCTGTTACCATTTGCTGTCGTCCTTTGCTACCTTCCTTTTTTAAAAAGTTTGTTACTCACTTGTAACTAGAGTCTTCGGCATTTATATGACGTAATGTGTTGTAAGCGATTATATGTCAGGGATGTAAATGTTTCAGGTTTCTTCTGATTTCAGATTTTTTACCCTTCCTATTTTGAAAAAAGAAAGATAAGCCAATATTAAAAGGAGAGAGAGAGAGAGAGAGAGAGAGAGAGAGAGAGAGAGAGAGAGAGAGAGAGAGAGAGAGAGAGAAATAAATCAATCAATAAAAGTGAAAAGTAAAAAAGTTTCCCCAATTTAATGTAACTGAATTACGTGGTGCATTTATCTTGCACACAATAATGTATTTATTACTATTACTGTAATTAGCATTGTTACACCAGCCCCGTTGTCCATAGGCTAATACTCATGTGCTTTACCCTTGATTCATACCATTTAAGGCTGATATTGAGCATGCTAAGGTATTTCTTTAATGGTGACATGCGATCATTGTAAGTTGGGTGGTCGTATTTTTGTGTATCTGTAGACTGTCATAACATGCCTGTCTCAATTATTATTTTTTTCTCTTTTGGTTCGCAGAATCAAATGGTGATGCAGGACAAAATGGAGAAAGAGAGGGCAGATGCAAAGAATGCTGTGGAAGAATATGTTTATGAAATGAGGGATAAATTGTACAGTACTTTTGAAAACTACATCACAGAGGATGTGAGTAACATTGTCGTAGTCTTTTGTAAATCTTATGGTCACATTTGGTGAATAATAGAGGGACCATAAAGTATTCAGCAGAGTTAAAACACCGCATTCCCACTGTAATTTTCTGTAGAACATTGGTATGTGCATTCAGTTGTCAATGATAAGAGATTGGTGAATCCTGGTTTTACTTTTAATGAATTCCTGTTGTCCCTTGTCCTATACTCTACAGCCTCCTTGGCTGGGCTATTTGTTGATTTTTATCAAAGATGTCATTTTATCATCCTGGTTGACTTAAGCTCCCACTTTTTATAGCAAATAAGTCTGGCGATGGAAGACCATATCGACTGCTTAGTGTAAGACTGCCCTACGCCATCTTGAAAAATAATATGCAATGATAAGCTTTCATATTTAATTGTTTTTGGTTTTTGGAAGGGGGGTGGCAAAAACTTATTTACATGAAAAGTTTTAGAATTGGTTAATGTGTGGAAATGTACGTCAAGATGGTTTGGTTTGTTGTTGGTGTGTGTGTGAAACTGTTTATGTGCCGATGATGTACACATAGAATCTTTCTGTGGACAGGACCGCAGTTCGTTCTCGCTGAAACTGGAAGACACAGAGAACTGGCTGTATGAGGAGGGTGAGGACCAGAACAAGCAGGTCTACATCGATAAACTGGCAGAGCTGAAGGTAAGGGCCTCACTGCCTGGGTTTGTTTGGGTTTATTTTGGGGGGTGGGGTGTGTTTATTGTTTTCTTATTTTTTTCCCTCTTGTTATTCTTCTGATGTAATGAACTTATAGTTGTGGGTGGTTGGAGAGCACCACTGGTAGGTCCCTTTTCTTTTGAATGTGAAAGAAGCTGGTGGGGACTGGGAAATCCTGCTTCGTGTGACAGCATTTTAAGTTTTCTCGTACACTTTGAAAATCATAGTTAAACCTTGCAAATCGGGGTGTGGAGGTAGGGCTGTAGACGGATTTGAATAAATATTTTGAAAAAGCTTTCTCCTAAGTTTGGACTGCAGTGTGGTTGATTGGCTTGTGCCCCCTCCTGTGCAAAAAAAGACTATTTAACGGGTGAAGTGTGCCCACAGAGCCATAACTTTATCTTATTTTTTTTTGTCTGTCAGCAAACTGGTCAGCCGGTAGCTGACCGCTACCGTGAGGCTCAGGAGTGGCCTGCAGTCCGGGACGCCATGGGTTCCTCCATACAGCTGGTGCGCAAGTTCCTGGACCAGTGGGCTCAGAACGTAAGTTTGTCTACTGTGTGTGAGGAAAGAAAGGGGAGTGTAAGTTTGTGTACTGTATGTGTGGAGAGAGACAGGGGATTGTAAGTTTGTGTACTGTATGTGTGTGGAGAGAGACAGGGGATTGTAAGTTTGTGTACTGTATGTGTGTGGAGAGAGACAGGGGATTGTAAGTTTGTGTACTGTATGTGTGTGGAGAGAGACAGGGGAGTGTAAGTTTGTGTACTGTATGTGTGTGGAGAGAGACAGGGGATTGTAAGTTTGTCAACTGTATGTGTGTGGAGAGAGACAGGGGGATTGTAAGTTTGTCAACCATTTGTGTGTGGAGAGAGACAGGGGAGTGTAAGTTTGTGTACTGTAAGTGTGGAGACAGAAAGAGGAGTGTAAGCTTGTGAGGGCTCAGAACGTAAGTGTCTATGGTGTGCAAGTTTATGTGTTGTATGTGTGGGGGAAAAGGGGTGTGTAAGTTTGTCTACTCTATGTGTGGGGAGAGAGGGGGTTTGATACGTCAAGTTGAATAGTTATGTTCAAAGAGTCCAGTGAAATAATTTGGAACTTTTGTTAGCCGTGGAATTTTCTTGGCAGTGTTTTATCAGAAATGGATCTTAAGTTTTATGCCCATCCTCTTAACTTATTGTTCTGTGTGGAAAAGGGTCTTTAAACATGTAACATAATGGTGTTTCAAGAGTGCAGGAGACAAGATTGCCCTATCAGGTATTGCCGAGGGCCTAGATATGCCAAGGTTAGAGGAAGTGGCTAGGGACAAAAGCGTGACGGCAACTGCTCTCTCTGCCTAATTTGTCTGACAGCACCGGGAGAGAGTAAGTAAATAAGTTTAATTGAGTCTCATCAGGTGATGATGCCATTCCTATTTTCTTCTCCCGCAGGATGAGAAATACAACCACATAGAGAAGGCTGACGTGGACAAGGTGGAGAAACTCCTCACGGAGAAGTCCAACTGGTTCGGCCACCGCATGACGCAGATGGCTCAGCTGAAACCTCACGAGAATCCCGTGGTGCTGGCCTCTCAAGTCAGATCAGAGAAACAGGTGAGGAAGGGAGGGACTTGTTCTTCTTTCATTTTTTTCTGTCCAGGCTGGATTGTTTAACTAATACCAGACTTGCCAACTGTCCCAGTTTTCCTGGGGACAGTCCCAAGATTTGGCCATCGGGAAATACATTTTAGCTGAATTGTGAACTCTTTTACAGGTGTTTGTGAGCTGTTTCTGTTTGTTTTAGTGAAGTGACCATCCATTTATGTTGAATGTCCCTGGTTGAGTTTGGAAAAAGTTGGCAAATCTGCAATGCAGTTGTCTGTGATGTGAAATGGTTGATAGAGCTTTGTTAGCATCCTTTTATTAGTATCTGACTTAAGATCAGAAATCTTGGAAAAGATGAAGGATTCTTACTTTTTAAAAGTACTGATGAAATTAATTGACGCTTATGTGTGTTGAGTGTCTAGGGTGTAGGCATGGTGTTATCCTTTTGTTGATAGTTGGCGGATGCTCTGGTGTGGTTTGCTCCTTCTTTGCTATCAAACATGTATCATCCTGATTACTCCTTTTTTTTTTTTTTTTGTATGTTACTCTTTTGTAACGCACCTAATCTTCGGCATTGATATGACTGAATTTTGATGCAATTGTCGTAAAACTCGTACAAAAACTTGACTTAGAGTTGGTGTTTTCATACAAATGTGTGATGTACCAGCAGCCATGCGATTTGG